TATATGTATCCACCACTGCACATGGATCTTAATTGTCTATTAATAGTATACAGTGTTGCTGTTAGAACATTATTAGATTTACACATACTGTTTTTTAAAAAAAGATTACTATCTTTAGAGGAGGTGTGTCAAACTGGCGGCCCAGAGGCTGGATGTGTCACAACCAGGTCCCAGCTCTATGAAGGGGAAAAAAATGTTGTAATACATCACCTGACAGCAACATGATGCCGCAAGTTTGAAACCCATGCTTCAGAGGGTAATATGCAGAATTTGTACTAAGATTTTTCTGAATTAACTAACTTCAGCATCACCCTTCCAAATATTTTTTACAATGCTAGTTTGGTTCTTCCTACCATCCCCACGGCCTCATTTGCTGAACAGACTAAGACTGTTTGCTAGCATGATGATGTTATCACTGACTCAAATTCAGATGTGACTCTATTGGATCCAAGAAAAAGATACATTAAAACGCTTCAGACTTCATAAAAGCCTCAGTCACCATAACTTCTGGTTTTTAGGACTATTTCATATTGGGTAGAATTAAGGCAAATATGGTTTGGAGATTATGGTGGTTGAGTGATATAAATCCAGAAAGTTTCCATTTTCCTGACCAAATACATTACCCAGCAATCTGCCAGTTTCCACCTGCTGCATTTGGCTGGCCAGGAAAAAATACACCACTACTCTTTATTATTCCTATTATTCCCAAGCACTTCTCATCAAGAGCTAGATATCAGGATTTATCAGGGAAGTGAGTATGGTTTATCAAGGTGATGTGATGAAGTGTGTGATTTATTGGGAAGCTAAGTATGATGAAGTCACCCGGAATCGCTTTATATAATTTTAATAAGTGGAAAGCATAAGAGTTGGATTGGAAGAGTCACTTATTGAGATTGACAGCTATAGAAATCAAGTAAATAAATAAAGTGAAGTAAGATTCAAATTGAGCACTGAGTGTTCTTATGACTCATATCCAGATGCAACAGTAGCAGATACTTCTCCTCTTGTCCAGAATACTTTTTAGTCTTCAAATATGGAGAGCTGTACCTCTCTTAAATCTACTTGATTTCCCACCCATGGCAAAGTTCTGTCACTTGAATAACCAATTTACTGATATGAAAAATTGGGTAAGACACTGTCACATCTGTGGAATGTACTGAGAACACACATTATCTTTCAGCTTTACAAAATGAATATTGTTGTAGTTCAAAGTAAATCGGGGGAGGCTAATATGCTTTAAAAAGTTGAAATATATAATAATGTCTTGGTTATACCTTTTGTGTTTTCTGAAGCAGGTGTTCACATCTATTCAGTATTTTGTACGAATTCAAATACAGAATTCAAGCTATAGCACTTTTAACTTATCTTTGGAAATTCAAACGAAGGTGGAAATATTGTTGTAACATCATTTACTTATTTGCATAACTTAAAAATATTTTTAATCTCTTTATCCTCCCCTTTTCCTTCTACAAAGTGTTTATGAAACTTGAAAGTTTCTCTCACAGCAATTTTGGATTATTATTTTTTCTGATACGTTTGAGGTGACAGAATAATTTATTGATTTACTTATCAAATAGTATCCACAGGCTGCTTCAATCTATAACAAAAAGCTTTGTGTTTTTAATATGAATATATGGCCTGTGAAGTTTGAACACAATTTCAGTATTTATTATTCAGAAATCATAAAGCTATGGGATATAGTCACGTTCTTTCATTTTCTGCAATAAACCTTTTGCAGAAGCATTTTTTCATCACTTAGATACTTCATAAGGGCCACCCCGTCTATGAAAGGTAGACCTTAAGCAAAAGTTTAAAGTGCCCAGGTTCTAGATTAACTACTAAAACGCTGGCAAATATGGCACTGGTTGGAAACAAAACTCCTGCATGGGTCACCATTTACTGGGCTGACCAGAAAACATCTTTTTTTTCCCATTGTGTTTTTTAGTACTTTCATTCTGCGGAAATGAAAATGGTGGTCCCAAATGGAATTTTAGCAGGAGGTTTTTTTTTTTTTTTCATAGCATGGCATTCTTAGTGAATTATTAATGGAGAAAGGGGGAAAAGCAGCACTCTCTGATGAATTCACCAAAGAAAGAAAGAGGAATGGCAAGGGCCCCATGGAGGAAAGAGGGACTACATTCTAAACTGGGAAGCAGAGTGGTCTCATTTGATGCCATAGGCTAGAATTGGGAGGACTCTCTGAGAGGTATAGTAGCCAAGGAATCTTTTGCTTTATGAATCAGATCCACTTTGGAAAGTTACCTGGAGGTAAAATGAGTTAGGAAAGTATACAATACACACAATGCATGTCAATGCATGTCAATGAAAAAGAGCAACAGCATTTCTGTAATTGACAACCCTGTAGGACAAAACAGCTCACAGAATTACAAGTTAAAATTAGATTAATTACCAATAATTGGATTACAACACATATGTTTAATGATTACCTACCATTTAGAAATTATTTAGCAGAGTTATAATTACAAGTCCAGTTGAGGGCTGCTCCTGTTTTAAATGCTTAGTATGTGTATTCAGCCCTGAGCCACCTCACAGTTATTCATTTTCCATTATTTAAAATTATAACCATAATTAAAATCTGAATCTTGGCACCATATATACTTCCTTTTATCATCTTCATTTACAATATTGCAGCTTTTTAATAACAGTGTAAAACTGGGGGAAATGATATAGCATATGAGAACGTATCAGCTGATCCTTCTAAAGGAACTAATCATTTCATTAAATAAACTGACTCTAAACTGGCTTCTGATAATTTAATCTGTACTAAATTTCATTTATTTTTCACATATTTGAACCACCAATCTGCTTCAGAGGACTCTGAAATTAGATTCCAAAAGTATTCTTTTTGTTGTATTATGCTGGATTTGTTTTGAAAAAGGAAACACTTATTGATATCTTGAAAATTTGTGCTAATTAGGGTAGGTTTGCTCTGTATATATTAAAGCAAATGTTCTTCTAGTGTCTTGAACATAACTGTGTCTGAAAGATTTAATGAACATCTAGCACTTCTACCCTAGAAGTCACATAAGTACCCATTTAAGAGACCCTCCTTCCAAGATAAATATTTATCAAGGTAAAATGGTAGCTGCGTGTTTGAAAATGATCTTAAATGTTACATTTTTATGTGGTCCTGTAACAATATTAGTCAAACTATTTGTGCTGACATGCCTTACACAATTTATCAAGCAAACATTTCTGCCCAAAGGACAGTTTGAACATAAACTAAATCCCACTTGTGTGCTTCCTATTACTTTTAGAAATAAGTGCTGTAAATTCCTATAAGCCAGTGTGATCAGGTACAGCACACAAGGAGCTTTACTATCTGGAATTTCAGAAACAAAAAGTAACAATTCAGATGTAAAAGGCAGCGAAGAAAGCAAAATGAATATATTGTACCAAGCCATGGTTTAATCATAATTTGCAGACTAGGTAACTATCTATGCTCACCTAATTCATTAAATACTGGTTTGTATGCTTTATAAGGTGCATGACTGAGTAATTAACATGCTACTTCAGAACTAAAAATATTATCACCTACCTGGATGTATGAACCCAATCAATAAGCACAGGTGTTCAAATTTCCTTAGGACCTCTGTGAGGGATCCCCAGTTTAGATATCTGAAGACCAATTGCAGCTACTGAGTTAAGGTAGTGCATATTGAGAAGCTTGGCATTTTTTTAAAAAAGGAGTGGGCAACCAGTCTCTCACCAAATGTTCTTTAATTCTTGGGTTACCTGGCTTTTCACACAGTGGAAAGTAGGATATAACTATAAATAAGTAAAAAACAAGGACAATCATGTCCAACATATGGATTTTCTTTCTATATGAATTTTAGTGACATTTTTCAAGTTTATCTTTAGAATTCATTATTTTTATTTAAATGCATTTTTAATCATTCTTTATTGAAGAATTACATGCTTTAATTCTTAGTATTAACATTCTTGACATAATATACTGTATGCTATACACACTTAACATAAGGTATACACACACCATCTTATTTTTTAAATTTTTAAAGCATTTATTGGGTTTATTCAGCTTAGATGTCTTAGAAATGTTAAACACATAAAGCATTGAAAAAATGGGGAAATGATAGTATTAACTTTCTTTTATAACAAAAACCCCATATAATAAACACAGAATTTAATTATATAATTAGCACTCAGCTTCTCAGCACTGACATTTGTAGAATTACATTATGCAAACAAATTTCACTTGTGTTATTTGCAAGGTTGAAATGTCTTTTGATAGAGAAATATTAAAGCGTGGTAGTGATACAAGCTTCTAAGATTAAGAAAAAGCATTTCATGTCAGATTTATGGAGAAAGCTAATCAAAAGAATTGTCCAAAATAAAACTGGGAAAATTAGAGTGTGGGCAAATCTTAATCCAAGTCAGGAGTGAATCAACTAATTCTGTATGAATTAATGATGAAAGAATCTCCTCAGTATGTGCTAAATATATAAATTATAAGTCATTGTTACTCTGAACAATTATCATGTGGCAAATTTATTTTAAATGACATTATTATATCATATTCAAAGAGTGTATGATATGCTTAATCCAATTTGGCCCTCCTGTATAGATTATATGTGAACTTTACTCCAAGATTCCCAACTAATGTGATTGTTGTTGAGAATTCTGAGAGTTGAAACCACTCATATGGGATCTGACCAGGTTGATGAAAACTGAAAGAGATTATCTCCCAAAATAACTTGCTGCTTCCATGAAAGTTCCAACTACCAAAGTGCTGTACTTGATCAGTGTATATCATCTGGGGGTCTTTTACACCTACTTTTAACTCATCAGGAAGCTAGCTTATTGTTGCTCTTGCTACAAACTCCCTGTGTGCCACATTATACTGAAACTTAATCTAGCTTGAAGTGATTTTTCATTCAGAAAAGCCCTTAGCATGGTAAATGAAAATGGTAATGTCAATATTGAGACTGATGTAAATGATAGGGTTTGAATAAATGAAATGTAGATCACTTTATTGGATCCAACTACATATGAAATTAGACAACTTGAAAACAAACTACAATGAAAACTGCTACATATTTATTAAGGCAACAGACTTTGAAATCCCAAAAGACAAGAATATAAACAGCAGGCATCAGTTAAACTCCTATTGCTTTTCAAGAAGCAGCGAACATTCTGCCATCTCTAACAACTATTTAAATGGTAACACAGAATACATGTTTTAACATTTCCTATCCTTCCAAGAAGGGAACAGTGAAATTCCCCAGTTTCTTTCTCCTAAAAGCAAATAAAAGAAATGGATTGATGGGTAGAGCTGCAATGATAGAAGATGGACAAGATTAATCTTGAACAATTGATTAAGCACTATTGCAGTTCCAGTGTTTTAATGCAATGTATTCAACCTATCTATACCACTCAGGTTTTGCACTGTCAAAAAGGTTTATATCCAAATATGTACGTGCAAAGCCTATTATTCAATGGATAATTATACTAAAATAGAAAACTGTTGCAAAATCCCAATAAAATACAAAATATTCTGTACACAATGCCTTATCTTGTCTAAGATTATGCTGTGATAGAATTAACATTAGATATAAATGAGTGAGAAGGCAATGAAGATAAACCAGCCACCTAATCAGATTTACAAATAATGCTACCTATGGAGCCACCAATGGAGTTTTGAAGGGAGAGGCCAGAGATATATGAAGGGAAGGACATAAAGAAGCTGAAACATTTTGTTGGAAGGAATACCCTTCTGGGTTCAGCTCCAAGTGGGGAAAAAGACACTGGAAACCTGGAGGCTGTTTGGAAGGTTTAATGGTGGACAAGACCACATGGCCTGGAACTCCAGAGTGAAAAGGAAAGATGACCACATGCTTTAAGATGAAGGAAGAGGTCAAGAAAGGGCTGAGGTGCTGAGAGTGCCTGGGTTTTATAACCTTTGTTGGGATTTGAATTGGAACTTGTATTCTGATTGGTTGTCAGACTCCCATGAGGCCATGCAGGGGCAAGTCTGTGGGCTGTCCTGAGTTCCAAGCTTGTTAAGCCTTGCTGGATGATGATGCACTGAAAAGGGCTTTTGGCAATTGCTATAGCTTTACCTGGAGATCTTTGTTATGTAAAGTATTCTGGCCCAGGCCTTAAAGGCCCACCCATTAAAAAAGGTGGGGGTGAGTTTCTACTTCTGAGGTGAGTTTCTCATTCTGAGTTTCTACTCTTTTTAGGGGAAATATTCTGCCTTTTTAATATTTCCTAGGATCTTTCCATTTTCTAGGAGAGGTGTGGGTGCTAACTTCCTACAATTTAAAAAGGAAATGAGGACAGCGGACACATCTACTTAGAGAAATGAATCCCTTGGAAAATCTTTTAGATAAGTGTGAGTGGAATTGATGTTACATTTAAGATATGAGCATTGTATGAGGGAGGAGTTATATATAATTACATTTCTCCAACGATGTTGATGTACGTATAACTTCAATATTATAGAAAACAATGTAAGATCTATGTTATCTATGACTCCTTTGTTTTTAATATGTTTCTTCATGCACACAACTGAACTTTCTCTAATTATTGGACAAATCAAACCAAAGACAGATTTACAGTGTAAAGTAACGTTTCTATATTAATAGGCTGTATTGGTTTTTTCCTGAACACATTCAAATCAAAAAGATTTTAAGCTTTTACATTTGCCTGACAATCCTTTCTCTTGGCAAAAGGTTTTGAATTTGTTTGCCTCTCTTTTTCCATGGGAACTGTTTGGTAAGTGCAGACATTAAAGCTGACAAAGCTTTGTCTGTGTTTTCCCCCTTTGCTTGGTTTCTGTGACTGTGTGTGCAGGCATGCATTCATTAACGTAATTCTTCAACCTTCAACAACAGTGCATCATAAATGAGGGGGAGGGGAGGACCTCATAAATATTTAGATTCTCCTGTCTACCTTCCAAAGCAAAGGTGGGGGCAGAATGTTTGGTAAGGAGCTAGTCAGAGTTAATCTGCATGTGAACCAAAAGAAGATACAAAAGGATGAAAAGATGCTGGAAACTAGTATGCAAACCCACTATCTCTAGAGGGTTATTCATCTTATTCTTGTCAGCCCAGTCCCAGTCTCGCTGCCTAGTTGGATTCTGAACATGACCAACAGCTTTGCAAAGAGAATTTGGCAAGAGAAATTTGTATTTTGTTCCTCCATGTGAAGCACCCTTTCCTAACCTGCGCCCTCCAGATGAATTGAAATCAGGATACACTGATTTGTCAACCAGAACTATCTATGATAGACAATCTAGGTTGTTTGTTTAAGGATTACAATTTGGATATAGGTAACAATTATACATCTTTTCCAAAAAAGTACCTTTGCTAGCTATGTTTCCCTTCCCCCGCAATGAAAATTCATAAATGTTAAGATCCATTTAAATTCATGAATCTTAAGATCCACAACCCTTAAAATGTTGAAAACAATTTATGGAAGTCTTATCATTTTATATCAGAATGGAAAAATTGAATAAAGCGCTCAAGGTATCTTAATAAAAGTGCAATTAAAATTTGCCCTTTATAGAAATTAGTATTTTATATAACGTACCAAGAACAATGAATAAGCAAATATTGTTTGGAAAATTAAAATTTTCTGGAAATGAAGTCAATTAAATTATGCTTGAAGAATCTTTTTGCAGCACACTATCAAAATGGTTTGTTAAATAGATGTTTTATCAAGAGAATTGGTGGAAAATTATTTAGTCAGGAATCCCTGTTTTTCAAATAATTGAATTGTTTCCAGATTTTTCCATGCCAGCAGATATATTGCTATAACAACTTTTGATTCATGAGGGAAAGCGAAGTGTTTTGCTGTCTGGTGCCCTCCATTCCATCTTCCAGAATGTCTTTCTGGCTGTTGGGACGTCTGGAAAACTCAAAAGAGACTGTAAAAATAAAGAAGGAATTGTTGACCATCATTTCCTTTCTACACTCCAACCTTGGTCTCTCAGATATAACTGTGTGTTGCGTTAGAACCCTTCTGCAGAAAGTAAGGGGAAAAAAATCAATGTATAAGAGGATGAGTTCTAATCCTGTCTTGAAGCATGAAACCAGCTGGGTGACCTGGGCCAGCCCTAGGAAGGAGGCAATGGCAATCCACTTCTGGAAAACTTGCCAAGAAAACTGCAGAAACTCTTCCAGGCAGTTGGCAGGAATCTAAAACTGATTCAAATAAAACACGCTAACAAACACAAAACATTATACATTCCATTAAATTTTATAGCTGATGTGTGAAATATAAAAATAAATATTACAGTAAATTTCAACATTTTTAATGCTATTTTTTAAAAGAAACATTCCTCATTAAAAAGCTGAATATTCTGTACCTTTGAAAAGTTCAAGAAATATTGTTCCAAAGCAATGGTACTCAAAGTGTGGTCTGGTGACTCCTGGGGTTCCTAAGGCTATGTCGAGGGTGTGTGTGTGTGTCTGTTTTAACTTCTAATGCAGTAAACATTAATAGATATAACTCACATAAACCAAAGCTCTTTGGGATCCTCATTCATTTTCAAGAATGTAAAGGGATCTCAAAACCAAAACGTTTTGAGAACTGCTGTTGTAGATTATCTTTAAGATACTCACATAGTAGAAATCATTCTTTAAAAAAAAGAATGAACAGATAAGGACTTAGTTGGACCCCTAGGGAAATAAAATTGCCACTCTACAGTATACTTAAATGATCAGATTTTTTAGCAACATAGAAAAACATATCAATAACAAGATTCCCACAATATACTGACTTTGGATAAGTGAAATGATCAAAATGAAGCATGGTTCTGTACTTTTTAAACTCTATGTGGATTGGTCCATGAATAAATGTTTCCAATATACCTAAAGGAAAGTAGATAACTCAGTACATAATGTAGCCCTCATGTACTAGCATAGTCTATCACTATTATTACTATGTCAGCTAACTGGTATGTTTTTTTTAAAGATAATTGCACACTAGAGCAATATTTTTTTTTAGTAAGTAAGAAAAGGAAGGAAGCTAAGAGAACAAAGTTATGAATTTGGTCACACCCAGGGATATGTGATCATCAGATTTGGTGCTACATTCACATGGAGAATTGTGTCTCCTTTTGTTGCTATTTCAATGGGAAGAACAGACTAATCCCATGGCAATATGGGCAGTTGCCTAGTTAAGAATATTAAACAATACTCTTGAAAAAATCGGAATCCTCTTGAAAAGAAAATGAGAACAGCGTGATCTCTGCACATATATAAGTAAATCCACATGACAAAAAGTAAAATGTTGGTAGTTGCACTAAAAAAAGCAACAAATAAGTAAAACACCTTGCTTCCTAAGTCATGTTTATTAATTATTAATTAATCAGTTGAAGTCTGAAATATTGCTCCATTTTTCCACTTGACATTTCTTTTAACAGGGCAAAAGAAAGGGCAGTGGAGCGATGTCAAAGTAGACAGGATGAGATCAGCCCATTTGCTGTTAATTCTTACCTTTAAATCATCAGGCAATACCCCATAGTACTTATTAAGAAGTGTACTAAAGTCAATTGAAGGACTAAGAAAACAGGTCTAGGATTGGACTGTGTAGTTTTCAAGATTTGAAACTAGCAAGCAGTGGCAGCACATTTTATAAATCATGCTAAAATGGGGTTGCTTTATATGTTCTTTTTTTAATTTAGTATACATATTGAATACAGATATTCTCCAAAAGGAGAAAAAGGATCTGATAATTCAGCCAAATTCCTTTTCTCCCACTTAAAAAACCCCATATAATCAATATTGACAGAAATTTGATTACTTTTTTTCTAAATTTTAGAATGTTTAAATTAACACTAAACATTAGTAGACATATTAGGTCTTGGGAAAGAATGACACCATTCCGATTAAGAGTCAAAACAATTAAATTATTTCTAATTGAATGTAAAAAATAAACTTAAACCACTGGTATTGCTCCATGTGGTCAATTTTATCAATATCCTTGTTAAAATACAGGAAAGCTGACAAGGGAATTTGTTACTGCATTTTTATGCATCAGGTTTCAGTGAAACACTGTCAATAGAACTACTGATTAAGCTTCCATGGGGAATAAAACCAGTTGTTAAACAAAGTGAGCCATTCTTCCAGATAAATGAGTGGCAGGTGCTTGGCAAGCCACTTTGAAATCAGTTTTTATGAAATACAGGGCTAGCACTAAACTACATCAATAATACAACCTAATTATTAGAATATCATCTCTTCCATATCTTTTCATAAGTCCTTTCCTTTCCTTTTTATTCAGTTTTGCAGAAAGAAAAGTCAGGCTGCTGTAAACGACACACTATTTATAACGAGGATGAAAGTTAAGAATGCAGCGGTAAAAGTTTTTGCAGGGGGCACGTATGAAGTGCAAATGTGGGTATTCCGGAGGGAGAAAAAAAAAACACCTCTGGTTATTTATTTGACTGATAGCGTTTAAGTATTTAACAAGGGTAAAAAGAAAAAGAGCGGAGGCACGTCTTCTTTGCAGACAAACCTCGAAATCGGTGAAAATAAGGTGCAGATTCGGTAGTTAGGTCGGCCGACCGCTGCGGCCCTCCAAAGGAAATAATTCATTCAAGCCGCTAGTCTGGGCGGGAAGTCGGTTTCTGCAGATACTCGCGAGCGCACGGAGCCTCAGGCTTTCATGAGGGCTTCCAGGCGACTGGAAGCCTCCAGCCCGACAGCTCCATTCATCTCGGTGGGATTTACTAAGCGAGTAAGGCGGCTAAACCTCCCTTGTTTGAAGCAGCGAGAAGGGAACGGCTGCGCCGGGGAGGCTTTTGCCTGGAATTCGGCTCCTTCCCGGCTAGTCAAGAAATCCCGAAGTTGGCTTTTTTGTGTGTGTGTGGTAATATTAGAGTTTTCCCGCCTTTCTGCTCCGGCGGCGAAGCCCAGCCGGCTACTTAAAAAGCGTTGAAAAACCGCGTCAGCCCTCGGTGGAACTTCGCGTAGGAAAATGAACCTAGGTGGAGAGACGAGCCGGCGGAGGCACATAAGTCTTTCACGGGAGACCCCCCCCCACCCCACCCCCACCGGGCACCCACGGGTGTTGCCGCCGCGTCCAAGCCCTCTGGCGTGCAAAAGGAGGAGGGGGAATGCCAAACAGACGGGAAGGAAGGCGAGCCGCCGCTGCCCAACTTTCCAGCCAGTCTCTCAAGAAGTGCAACCGGCCGTGTCTGCACCGCCTGAGGTCCGGAGCACCATTCGATGTAAAAACACTTCCCACTGTTAAGCACTCGGACGGGGGGATTCCCCCCGCGTGCGGTAGGAAGACGCCTCTTGAGTGAATGGGTGAGCTAAACTTTGCACGGGGAAGCCCCTACGGCTTTTCCGCACCCAGTTCTGTTTCCCTGCGGAGAAGCCGCCTTACTCTCCCCAGTCGCTCTCCTCGCGACTGCTGCACGAGATACACTACACGCGGTTAACCCCACCCCCCCTTCTTGGTGCGCCTCCCGCTACTCTTCGGCTGTCTTCTTCCCTCTCCCTCTTGCGCAAGCGCACAAATACTCAGTTCGACCCCGCCTCTCCCATTTCAATCCTAAAACCTCAATATAAGGGGCCGCGGGCCGGCGTGACACAATTGAAAGCGCGCGCGGGCGGGCGCGCACACCCTCATGCGAATCGCGGGTGCCAAGAAAACGCAGCGCGCTTGCGCCTCTGAGGCAGCGCAACCAAATCTACCCCCCCTCCACTTAAGCACCACGTGACCGAGCCCCGCCCCAACACCGGATCTGTGAAGTAGCCCGGAGTTTGTTCAGTTTCTTTCTCGTACAAAATAAAAACAAAACAAAAAACCGGGAGGGCGGCAAACGGGGAGGGGGGTGGTGGAAGGAGGGATCACGCGCACGCACGCAACCACCTCGCGCGTAAAAGTAGTGCAAGGCGGGGGCGCGAGGATTCGGGGGCGCGCGCCATTCCAGAGCCCAGGCACATCACACGGGTGTAGGTGTGAGGGGCACGCTCCCTTCCGCTACACCTCCGGCCGTCAACCGAGTCCCCAATCAGTCAGAGGCGAGCTGGAGGGGCGGGGCGGAGTGGATCTGCCAAGTGGCGCCGCTGCCGCCGCCACTACCGTTGCCGTCGCTGATTAACGGCCGCCCCGCCTCTGCTCCTCCGCTGGCCCCCTCCCTGCCTCTCTGTTTCCTCCCCTTCCCGCCGTCGTTGCTTGCTGCCAGCGCCGCCTGAACTGAAGCGAACTCCAGAGCGAACTGAAGAGGAGGAGACGGCAGGAGGAGGAGGAGGTGAAGGCACCACGGCGGCGGCAGCGGCGGGGCTGAGAGTCATCAGCCTCAAGCAAACGGCAGAAGCGGGAGGGGAGGGAGGCGAGGCGGCGCGGGAGACGAGGCGGAACTGCCACCAGCAGCGGCGGTGGGAACAACAACAACGGAAGCACCGCCGGTGGCCGGGAACAGCCTTACAATACGCGGCGGCAGCAGGAGCAGCAGCAGGGACTCCTCGGGAAACAGCCAAGTCCGCCGCCCCTTTGCCTGCCTCCCCGCCTCCCTCCCCGCCGCGGAGACAGACCAGGGGGCAGCAGCGCCGAGAAGAGGGAGCCGCGACCGACGTCTGCGTGTGCGGCGAGGGAGAGGAGGGGGAACTACCGAAGACTGCGCCGCTTTGGAGAAAGGCATCCAGTGGGAGCGGCGACAGGAAGCGGCAGCGGCGGCGGTGGAGGAGGAGGATCACTGTACAGTCGGGGTTGTGGAAGAAGACTAGGGCGCAACCCTCCGTGGTGGCGGCGGCGGCCGAGGAGGGTTTGGGGTGGCGGTCATCGAGTTCCCCCCTTTTATTTTCCTCCGAGACCCGCCGCGGCGTGCTGGTGGCTTCTTGGTTGACGAGACCCCCTTTTCCCGCTCTCTTGTTTTCCTAAGGGGGGGAAGAGGCCTCTCCCCCCCCTCAGCCCACATAACACACCCCGTTTCTTCCCCGCCTGGCGTGCACCCAGTGCGGTGGTTGGACGAGTGCTGGTGCGGGCGCTCGCTCGCTCTCTGTTTGGAATATGGTTGGGGAAATGGAAACGAAGGAGAAGCCCAAGCCGAGCCCCGATTACCTGATGCAGCTGATGAACGACAAGAAGCTCATGAGCAGCCTCCCGAACTTCTGCGGGATATTCAACCACCTCGAGAGGCTGCTGGACGAAGGTAAAACGCAATTACAAAAACTCAAAACGGAAAACCCCCAACAAGTAACTCTTCTTTGTAGGTCGGAGGGTGAGGGGGAAAATGGTGGCCCCTGCCCCGGCCTCTCCGCGACATAGATCCGCTTTGCCCTTCCCGTTCCTATCCTGCAGATGGGGGCGGACTAGGCTTTGCGCCCCCTCAATGGCGTCTTTTGGCTTTGCCTCTTTTGCCCATAAACAAAGAGAAGCGGGAAGTCTACACGCAGAAGTTTTGGCTTTTTGGGGAGCGATGAACTCAGTACGTCGTTTTATTTTTATTTTTGGGTAGCTCCTTTTTAATCGACAAACTTGGGATATAAAATTATATTTTGTACAAGAAAAAAGTTGGGAGAGGAGAAAGTTTTTTTTAAAATGGGATTATAGCATTTTGAGTTTTTAAATCATCTTGGAAAGTATGAAAGGCAAAGTAGGCCCGATAGTACGTTTATGAAATACTTTTAAGTAACTTAGTCTTTCAGCCTAAACTGTACATGGCTGATTTTTATTTTGAGGTTGGGCGGAGGGACTTGAAAAAAACGAGAAACTTGAGGGCTCAGTTTTTATTCAAAATTAGGCTGGTTTTCGGCCTAAAAGGACGAAAAAATGTTAGATCTGCGAATAAATATTAAGAACTTTATTAGCTTTTACCCTGAAAAACATATTGGGTGATTCTCGATTTGAATATCAAAAGCCAACGCGAAAAATGTTTTGGGAGTCTCTGAATACCCGTTGGTAGCTTTAGGCCGTGTGCGTAATCTCGATCTCCTGCCTGTAGTTAGTTGATTTCCAAGAAGGTGCAGAGTAAGTAATTTTGCAGACCAAAGTGTTTGCAGATTTATGTTTCCGCCAAAAATCGCTAAGTGTTGCGATTTTTAAACAAATTACTTGGTTTGAGAATTCAGCTAGAAATGTCATAAACAGTATCTTCTTAAATATAAACGTTTTGAACTATATGTTCAGTATAAATTAGAGTCAAAATCTACTTCAAAAAGTCTTCTTGAAACTTCCATATTTTAAGAAGGGGGAACTTGGTGACTATCAGCCTCACCATTTGTGAATTAGACTTGATAGTGCTTTTCAGGTTCCATTTGAGATGATTTAATCTTTTTTGTCCGGGAAGCATATTACAGCTCTTAACTGAAATGTGACATGTTTGAAACATTTTTTTGGTTCCTTTGGAAGATATTGTTCAAATAGTAGTTGATCAGAGTGTGTATTTGGCTAATTCTAGTTTAGATGAAAGTTAATAACATACCCTAATATTAAGTAAAGAAGTTTGAGTATAAACATTATATGGGACTAGTTTAGTATAAATTTGTCCTTGCAGTTCCTTTTTAAACATAGCTGTTTTTAACCACAACACTACAATGACTTTAAACATTTCTGGAATCATCATAGGGGAATGACTAGTACCATAATAAATCTGTAAGAAGAGCAAATGAGAATATTTTTGGTGTGCCTATTTCAAGAATACATTAAGTCACAGAATCTTTTGAATGTTTTTGAAGGCTTTGAGCTGTCAGTTTTTTAATAAGTCCAAAATTAGGACTGCGAAATCTAATAATTCAAAAGTCAAACTGCCCCAATATACATTTTTTTCCGTATTACTGTTTTTTGTTCGTTTGTTTAGGTAGCCCCTTTAAATCCTGTTTTCTTGTTTGCATTGGCTTCTGGGTGGAAGAACTGCAAATGTTGAAAACTTTCTGGAATGTTAAAAAATGCTCTATGCAAATAAGTGATTTAAATGTTTTAAGAGATGAACACTAAGGGGCGCTAGTTCTTTCTGAAAAAAAGATTAAGATGGTTTTAAACATTAATATCAAAATCAGTGTATTTGTGCTGTATTTAAGACAAGAAATTAAGTTTAAAACACAAACACATTCACATATTTTGCTTTTGTTGCTTGGATTAGTGATATTTCTTTCCTATAAAATATTGCAAAAAGTTTATATAATTGGAAGATGTTAGGAAGAACACATCCACTATCACTCGCAAATAACTTGTTTTACAAGAATAATTTTTTTCCTCAAGAGATCTTTAATGGTGGAGGTTTTTTTGAAGATTTACATTTTTTGGAAAGCTAAAGACTCTAATAATATAATACTGTACTTCTGTGAACAAGCAGGGGGAAAAGTAAAATAGTAAAAGTAAAATTCACTAATTCTGCAATTTTCACTTAATGCTATGGGTATTTACACTAAATTATCAATATTTGGTTAGCTTATTTAAAGCTTAAAATAAAAAACATACATCATTTTAATGAAATCCTTATACTTATTGAAAAAAATGGATATTTTTCATATTTACAAATTCTTATATATGAATGGATGTACTTTTGAAGGAAGACAAACATTTTCTGTTATACACCTTTTATATTCAAAAGTAAAGGAAGGGAAATAATAAAGATTTTCATTGTTTAACATAATTATAGCTGTTTCTATAAATGGATAAATATATTTAGTTGCAAAGATTTTTAAAAATGAAGCAATTTCTATTGGTTTACAGTAGCCTATAGAAAGAAGAGGAGGAGTTTTTCTGAGTTTAAAGCTATAGTTCTATCAATTCTATCTTAAAATTATTTAAAGTATATTTTAAAGGTAAAACCTTTTCATTTTTGAAAAGAGAAACCTGCTGATTTCCATTTTCTTGTGTCCTTGTGTTATGACTATCTATAAACTGAATATTACATTCTGGTCAATGATCCAAATCTTTCTTGGCAACTGACAGAAGATACACACATAGAGAGAGCAAGAGAGAGAGAGAGAACTTTATGTATATGATATTCTTAATTAAAAAAACACTGTCTTAATTGGGCTTCCAAGTTACTTTTTTCAGTAAAATCATCAAGAAATAGCTATATTACATTTACAAATTTCTCCCCAGCTTTGAAGTATGAGTGATGAATGTTTATTTTTCATAAATTGTAATTTAAACATGTCCTCTTGACCTGTAGTATATATTTATTAAGCTTAATCTATAACTACACTCACTTGCACTAATAACTAAAGATATATAATAATAAACCCTTACCATCTAAAAATAGGATTTTTAAAAAATATATGGCTGTTATGTGTATTAGCTAACATTATTCATAATAAATTATTTAAAATTGATTTGAAAAAATGTAACCCTGAAATTTTATTGTGAATGAATCATAATTAAATGATATATTATGCAAAAAAGGGTCATTACCTTGAGTATACATTTGACAAAGACTAAGCAATCAAAATGACATGTTGCAGCAATTAATTTTTCAATTTGATCCAACAGTCCAATTTCCAAACAAGTATATTGGTACCACATTATTACAGATCTACTACATGTATAAATTCATGCAGCCCATTTTCAGCCAATTTCTAATATATTAAACTGGAATTAATTCAGCTTTAAA